TTAAGTAGTGTGTGTGTGTGTGTGTGTGTGTGTGTGTGTGTGTGTGTGTGTGTGTGCGTGTGTGTGTGAAAGAAAGTGAGAGGTGCACAAAGAAACAAGAAGAGCGTTGACCCACGAAGTAGACAGAGAGGATGATGAGCCCAAGAAAGGAACATTCCATATTCTTTGTCAAAGTTCTCTCTTACCCTCCTTTTTCTATTTCCCAGGTAGAGAAAATAATGCTTCTGATGACTCTTCCATTGTCATCAAGTCTCCATGTTCCATATCAGGGAACCTTTGCGAAATCTTTAATGACATTCTAACCACCCGCCCGCTACTGGAAGAGACTCATAACTTCTTGAGAGGCCTAGAATTTTACAAGGACTATCTCCAACAGAGAGGATTTATTGAATGGAAAGGTAACTGCAATACAACTAATATTAGCTGCACTTTTGAGGTATCATCTCAGGTCAAGGGATACGACTAATGGCAATAACAAAAACTTAACAAGCCATTATGTGTTAGAGATGAGTGAATGGGTCGGCTGAAAATATGAATCTGGTGAACCAGCCACTCTGGGACCCAGGGGCGGCTCTAGGCACCAGCAAAGCAAGCATGTGCTTGGGGCAGCCCATTTGCAGGGGTGGCAGGGATCCAGCCTGGGAGCTGAGAACCAACAGGGGGCCCTGGAAGCTGTAGTTCCTTGGTTAGCTCCCTGCCTATAGAGCCAGCCCTGGAGCAGGGAAAGAACTACATTTCCCAGCATTCCCTTGGCCACTACCAACAGGAAAAAGGGGGAGGGAGTGAGGTAGCTGAGACCTCATGCTGCAGTGAATGAAGAGCTGCACTGTGAAGGTAGGGATACCATATTTTAACATTCAAAAAAGAGGACATTCCACAGGGAGGGAGGGTAGCCCCACCCTGCCCCCATCCACTCCCTCCGACTGCCCCCCCACAGAAACCCCAACCCATCCAACCCCTCCTGCTTCCTGTCCCATGATCACCCCCTCCCGGGACCCCTGCCCCTAACTGCCCCCCCAGGATCCCACCCCCTATC